CGGCCGCGCGGCGCGGGTCGGCGAGGGCGGGCGCGCACGCGGCCGCGGCGCGCTCGGCGGCGAGGGAGGCGAGGTGGCGGTCGCAGAGCTGCCGCGCGGTGTCCGCGGCCTCGAGCGCTGCGGCAGTAGTTGTCAATGCTGCTGCCGGCGCCGCGTGCGCTGCGCTGCTGTTGTCGCAAACAGCGCCGCTGCTGTTGGGCGCGTGCTGCTGTTGTTGCGGCCGCTGAACAGGCGATGCACCGCTGCCGCTTGCAGGGGAAAGCCCCAGTGACCCCGCTAGATTAACAATTTCCATGAGAGCCTCTGTTGACGGTGGCATATTTTGCAAAGCTGTGAGGGCGTAGAGAGCACGCAGGACAAAGTGATTCAAAATTTGAGGCACGGTATGTGATCTACACGACGTACTATTGTATACACTTCATGTGCCACTGTTACCGCATCATATGTTATCATAGCAACCGCAACGACGTTGCTATGCGCTGTCCTCTCACAAATTTTTCGTGATCGACACTGGACTCTCAGCTCCTGACCTGCTTCTGACCAGCGGAGCACCTATGTACATGCCCTTAGATCCTTGAAAATCACCGCTGGTTGGCTGCAAGGCGCAGCACTGCTGCACCACTCAAAGCAGGCCGGCACCGGCCAGGTGCAGCGCAGGCGGTTACTACACGTTCACACACATGGTGAGGGATTTTCCAGCGACTGGACACCAAATCAGACGGGATATAGCCTCAGACTACGGGGCCCAGTAGTCCTAGGCCAGCCAGCCAACGGCGCAACAAGGTCGCAGCGAGGCGGCCGTGAGGGTGGCAAGGCACTGGCAGCAGAGGCGGCGCGGAAGCGCCCTGCACATCGTGCCCAAGTACGATGGTGCAGTGCCTGAGCGTGATTGCAGCTGCCCTGAAGATACCCCATTGCATGTCCTGCGCAGTGCGGTTGCATGCGGCGAGCGCCCGGCTTGAGTCGACGAGGGCGGGCCGCAGGGTGCTCGGAGGGGGGGGGGCGCGGGGCGGCCATCAAGGCGCGGCGGCCACTATGTGTGCACCCAGCATGCACTAGACCCGCCCCAGGGGACAGTATGCGCACTAACAGGTGCGCCTCAAACAAGATTGCGCCTTAAAGCAAGGAGGTGCTGGTGTCGAAATCGGTGGCAAGCGGTTGGTGCGACCGCCCCGCACGCGTGGGGCACCGGCCACAAGGACGCTGCGCGGCTTCGGTCTGTCTGGGTGGCGGAGGCTGCCGGGATCTCTGCGCTTCAAGGCGGCGTGTCCCCTGCTGGGTGCCCACACCTTGAGGTCGTACTCAACCTTGGGATGCGGCCCCCACCGGTGCGGCAGAAGGCCAGCAGTCTGAGCAGCTGTGGAACGAGGCACGTTGCACTGCTGAGTGGCAGAATGAGTGTCGAAGCCACGACACACCGCGCCGCCACGTGGCTGGACCAAGAGGGACGTGAGAACGCGGGCGTGCAAGGGAGCGGAAGCCGCCCCGAGGCCACCGGACCGGGCCAGGGAGCCCATCGCACAGGGGGCCCTGTGTGTGCACAACAGGCTTCCTGCGGCCGGTCTCCTCCGCACACCCTCCCCACCCCGTGCGCTTCACTGCTGTCCCCCTGCCTATCGTGGCAGTGCTGCCACCGGGCGAAGCTGCAGGCATTATTATATGTCCCCACAATTGTGAGAGGGGGCGCAGGCGCGATGCACAAGCGCCAAGGCGGCTGATTCAGGGAAGGAGCCTCTAACCCTGCATGATACTGTAAAGCATTTCAAAGCGTACGTACAACCCCTAAAGATTCAAGGCTTCCAACAGCTGTAATCCCTCTTACGTAAAAGCTCTCCATCATGAAAGAGGAATTGCGCGCGCGCGAGTGACGTGGCGGCGCTTGCCACGGATCAAACCAATGCGCAGCAGGGGCGCGCGGCAAGGCACACCGACGGATGGGGGGTTTTCAAGTAATGGGCCAAAGGCAGAGGGGGCGAATGCCTGCATGGACAGTGATGGCAGGGCAAGGCGCCAAACCTGACGGGGCGCTTGGCTGGTCTGGTTGGAGGCGGGGTCGAAAGCGCGGACCCTGGGCAGGGGGTTGGGGGCGTGTGCAAGCTGATGCCACGGCTGTTGTGCTGAGCGGAGCGCTGCCAGCCTCTTGAAGAATCTCCAAAGCAGCATACACGGGCTCCGTCCTCGGGTACCCCTGCAAGTCTGACCCGCGCGCGTGGCGTTTGCGCGCCGCCGCTGCATTTCGTTGCAGGGGCAGGAGTTGCACATTGAGGTTGGGCCTCTGCGCTGACCGTACAAGCATGCGATAGCTCGACTGTGTGGAATGCGGGCGATCTGGCTGGGCTGCTGCGAGTTGCAGCAGGCAAGGGGATGCGTGGGAGCGGCAGGTTCAGCCAAGAGCAGGCGGCGGGCTTGCAGTGCGCGGCCGCGGCGGGGCGCCACCGCAGGGCCGCCAAGTCCAAAATTTAGGAACGAAGACCCCCAACAGGGGCAAGGAAAGCCGGGCTTGTTCGGAACCCGCCAAGCACACGGGGGTTTAAAAAAACTCGGCTGCCGCCGGCAGCCGGCTCGCGCCCCGCACTCGGCGAGCAGGTGGGCGAGCAGCGCGCGCCCGCCCGTCGCCGGGCCGGAGGCGCGGGCCCGCCGTTTCAAGGCGCGTGCCTCCGCGCCTCGCTCTTGGCCCTCAGCGCGGCGACGTCCGCATTGATCTCGGCCATGCCCTCGATTATCCTGTCAAGCTTCGAGTGGAGGTCCTTGACCTCGTCCTTGAGGTCGCCCTTGGTCGCAAAGACCAGCGAGCCCACGCCCGCCCAGAGGGTGCCGACACAGGCGATCGCGGCGCAATAGGCGCCAAGCTTCAGCAAAAAGGTCTGCGCGCCGGCCTGCGTCTGGGGGGTCAGGGGGCAAGGCGCACGGGCATCCGCTGAGCGGTCAACAGCTGCACACACTCGTTGAGAGCTTCGCTGCAGCTTGGCGTGTCCGGTCAAACCCCTGCAGGCAGCCGGCACGGCCGACCAAGGGCGCCGACCCGCACGCACCGCAGGGGTGCGGGAGGCCGGCTTGCCG